GCTGAACCACCATCCCTGCGAGCAGCACAGGCACAGTCCCTCAGCACGCAGTGCAGCAATGCTCAGCAGTGTATTTTGGGAGATGCTGAACGCAAAGTTCTTGACTGCTGAAGGCGTTTCTAACGTCCTAAAGCCTCTGACAACCAGCACTGTAAACCATACCGTGCAGATTTAGCTTTATGTTGATTTTCTTTTTTTAAACTTCAGTATCATTACAGCTGATATATTTTGCAATTTGATAAACTGACTTTGAATAAGTTCTCATATACAGAAAGTGAAGTGAACATGAAATCTGCTAAGGTTCTACCCTCTCAGTAATACAGAATAAAAAAGAAATCTCACAATTGACTGCTGGAAAAAGTATTTGCCTGTACAATCACTACCTTTGAGCATCAGACAGCCATCTGTCATCACCCTCAGAAGCATCTGGGGTCTGAAAGTTCCAGAGTTTCCCCCAGAGGCAGCTAACTGCCCACGACCACGTTCAGATGACTTACAGCCATCTCCAAGGACAGAGAGTCCACAGCTTCCTGCCAACCCGCACTGGTGCTCATGCATTCCATGTAGGGGAGCTTCCCAAAGCTCAAAGGGAACCTCTGGTCAGATGTGGGCCTCCTCCATGAGCAAACTGGAAAGCTGGTCATGAGGGATATGGAGAAGGTTGAGGCGAGGCTAAAAATGACTTCTTTGCTTCAGTCTTCACTGGCAACAGCTCCAACCACACTGTCCAAATGGCAGAAAGTAAAGGTAAGAACTGGGAGAAGGAAGATCTGCCCACTGGAAGTGAAGATCAGGTTTGAGACCACCTAACAAAGGTGCACAAATCGGGTGAGATCTATCCCTGGGTTCTGGGAACTGGCAGATGAAGGTGTCAAGCTGCTATCCAGCATATCTGAAAGGTAACCACAGTCTGGTGAAGTTCCCACTGGCTGAAAAAGGGGACACAAAGCCCCCGCTGTCAAGAAGGGGAAAAAGATCCAGGGAACTACAGACCGTTCAGTCTCATCTCTGTGCCTGGCAAGATCACAGGGCAGATCCCCTTAAGGTCCTACTGAGGGGCATGGAAAACAAAGAGGAGGTGATCGGTGGTAAACAGCACAGCTTTATCAAGGGCAAGTCACACCTGACAAACTTGGTGGCCTTTTATGATGCAGTTACAGCATCAGGGGATAAATGAAGAGAAACTGATGTCATCTGCTGGACCTGTGCAATGGGTTTGACACCATCCTCCATGACACCAAATTGGAAGAAAGTGGATCTGATAGATGGACCACTCACTGCATAAGAAATGGGCTCAGTGGTCACACTCAGAATTGTGTCAACAGCCTGATGTCCAAGCAGGGACCAGTCATGAGTGGTGCTCCTCAGGGACCGCTGCTGGGACCAGCGCTATTTAACACGTAAGCAACACGAATAGCAAGTTTGGAGATGACTCCAAGCTGAGCAGTGCAGTTGACATGCTAGAGGGAAGGGATGCTGCAAGAGGAACCTGCACAGGCTGCAGAGGTGGACTCATAACAGCCTCATGAAGTTCAACGAGGATAAGTGCAAGGTTCTGCACGTGGGTCAGGGCAATGCCAAGCGCAGATACAGGATGGGCAGAGAATGGCTTGAGAGCAGCCCTGGGGAGAAGGATTTGGGAGTACCAACTGATGCAAGATTAAACATGAGCTGGCAACATGCTTGCAGCCAGAAGGCTGCATCAAGAGAGATGTGACCTGCAGGTCCAGGGAATGATTCTGCACCTCTAGTCTGTCCTTCTGAGACCCCACCTGGAGTGCTGCTGCCAGGTCTGGGGCCCCCAGCACAAGGACAGGGAGCTGCTGAGCAAGTCCAGAGGATGGCCACAAAACAGAGGGCTGGAGCACCTCCCCTACAAGGACAGGGGGAGAGAGAGCTGGGACTCTTCAATTTGGATAAGGCTCCATGGGACCCTTATAGTGGCCTTCCAGTACCTGAAGGGGGCCTACAAGAAAGCTGGGAAGGGACTTTTATAAGGGCAGGTAGAGACAGGATGAGGGGAAATGGCTTTAAACTGGAACAGGTTAGATTTAGACTAGATATTAGGGAGAAATTCTTTACTGTGAGGGTGGTGAGACACTGAAACAGGTTGTCCAGTGAGGCTGTGGATGCCCCCACCATGGAAGCATTCAAGGCCAGGCTGGATGGGGCTGTGAGCAACCTGGGCTAGAGGGAGGTGACCCTGCCTACGGCAGCAGGGTGAAACTAGGTGATCTGAAAGGTCCGTTTCAGCCCAGAAGGTTCTATGATTTAAGCTGAATTCTTTAAGTTAGTGAGGCTGAAGTTACTCACTAGGTTGGGTCTTCAATGCACCAAATGTGAACTCCATGGCTCCTCTGCTGAACACACAGAAACACAAAGAGAGCAAGTTGCCCAATTTTTACTGAAGAAATACTTCAGTTTACCACTCAACTCGCACACTAGAAGCTCAAGATAAAGTAGGGTTCTCCCAAATATGCCTACAAACAATTAAAAGCGGGTGAAGACACTTTATTCTCCTGCTACAGATTACAGATTCTTGTTTATCGAGGTAGTGATAGCACTTCTAGGTTTATGCATTCTGCTTAAGCTTTGGAATCAAGGTAACCACCAAGGTGTGTTTACAATTAGATCTAGAGACTATTCATTTGACCATATGTACTCTTCAACCAATACCTACTTCGGAATTACTAACAGAGTTATTCGTACTCCTATCTCAGAAGGTCAGTGCTGTTCTCCCCTGCTCTCCAAAATCCATTCTGAAGAAGTGATAAACATTAGGAAAGAAAGCAAACATGGATGCTAGTCACCTCCACCGCCATAGTCACAATCACTCCAAGTTACTTACAGGGGCAGAGAAACTTCCTTGGTCATTTAGCAGCCTGAAATCAAGGTTCTGGCAGCCCCGAGCTCAGTCACTAGCTATCTCACCCTGCAAGGAGGGCAGAGGCAGGTTCCCAATTCAGATACACTGGACTGCCCTTTGGAGCAGCCTGCATCTCCTGAGCAAGTGAAGCCCCAGTCCCCACCTTTATCACTTAATTAATTAGCACTGTCATGATTTCCCTCAGTATTCCCACCACAAACATGCTATAAGCAGTAAGTCACTGCACACCACTTCAACTTCCCCCTCGCAGGGAAGAGCAAAAAGCAGCACCACCAAGAAATCCAGACATGGCAACATAGCACCTCCTCTGTGCGAGCTGCTGGAACATCATCTTCCAGGTGCCTCAGAAAGAAGCTGCAAATGAAGCTGTTAAATGGAAGAACTGTTTCTAGTCTTTCTCAATTTCTGGATCAGTAGAGAAAGCACGCCTTCCCCCAGACCCACGGTGCTGCTTCTGACGGGACGCAAGGCATTCATTACTCAGCATAAAGCTGAGGCCCTGTTATTCACAGGAGTTACCTAACCCAGCAGCTTCTCCTATTAGCAACACATTTGCTCCTCAGTAAGGCTAACCAGGAAGTCAGGGAGCTGACAGCCCTGAAGTCTGTAACAATACAGCTGCAGCCTCACTGAAAACAAGATTTCCACCCTAGCAGGTTGACACTGCCTTCGTAGAATTCATCTGTACTTGATGGAGACAGGAATGCCTCTTCCAACTCCTGCCCATGGGTAATTTGGTCTACCTTCTTACAGAAAGCATCTCTTATTCCTGACACCCACCAGCATTTCTTTTGCTGCCTTCATGAATTATCACCAAGTGACCCTGCCAAGACTTCCCCCTGGTTAGATCTGCATGCATTCTGTGCTACACACACGAGAGTTTGCAGAGAGTTCATATGAAAGCACAACAGAGACAACTGGTCAGTAATACATATGCACCTGATCTCAGGAAGCATGCTTTAGAATGGCCTCGCTGGTCCCACAGCTTAGTCTAACTACACCAGGAGGATGCAGTTTGAAGAGGATCAGAAACAGGAGTTGCAGGCAGAGGAAGAAAGGAGCTGGAAAAGCATACTGCAACTGGATTTGGTCCCTAAATTAAGTCAAGGTATATTTTGTGATTAAAGCTCTCTGACAGCCATTAATAGTAAGTCTGCTGATGCTCTCAGCTAGCCTCTTAACTTCTCAGCCTACTTCTGTCACGATCCCAGCACACATTCCAGTGTTTACATGCTATTTATCATCCCACAGGATGTATGCTAACTTCAGAATCCCCAAGACAAGTGAAAATAACGCATCATGCCACACTACGTGCTCTGCAGCTGTAGAATTCTAGCCATTACATAGTGATTGAATGCTGTATGTTTAGTACTACCTTAGCACCTCTAACAGCAGCTAGTGCTCTACTGAAAGCATTCATAAAGAAAGCTACAACGAGCACACAGTCATTTGGCTTTTACTGGCACTATTCCTTCAGCTTTCCAGTTACAGTGAGGACCTTCAGCTCTGCACAGCAGCAGACTCACTGCCGTCACAGACAAGATGTGCTGCTGTCTTTCCACCTCTTCTTCTCAAATGCTACATCTCAGCTAACAGAGGGTATGGAATTGTGAGCTCAGTAGAAGGGAAACAGTTAAGATAAGCAAGGAGTCATCAGCTAGAACTAAAGGGTGTGTGAGGGCATGACAAGTGGTGGAGAAGAACTGCATGTTTTTGTCAGCCTTTTTTAAAAGGCTGCTGCTGTTTCCTTACGTTTTACTTCGTGTACAGTATCAACACTGGAGCCTTCTTTTGTCATATACACGTTTTCAAGCTCAAATGTCTGTCCTAAAGCAGAGCTTCCTGCACAGAACTGCCACGACTCAGTACTCGATTCAGTCAGACTTAATGGATCCTTGAGCAAAACTACGCTAAAATCCCTTCTCCCTATGGCTGAAGGAATTGGATGATCCAGGGCTTGTGAAGAACAGGTTACAAACTACACGCTGCGCCACAAGACTGAAGCTGTGATCACAGAAGCAGTTAACACTGAGAATGCAGTATTATTTGTTTTACATTCTAAACCTAGATGAGTAATTACAGCAGAGTAAAATTAAGTGAGCGTTGGAGGTACCTTTTGAAATAGTTAGTGCTGGGGACCACTGTGATCGTAGAATATCAAGACAAATGCTGCCATTACTGTTAATATTTGGATGATAGATTCTTGTTGTAAATGCAACCTGCAGAAGAAGGAAAATTTCAGTGTAGGCTCACAAATGTACATTATAGCACACGGTAAGCTACTGCACAGGACACTCACCTTAGGTGGTTTGAAGGGATAATCTGTTGGGAAGTGAATTGTCAAGAAAAATACTCCACCTTGATAGGGACTGTCGTTCTGTTAAGGAAAAGGAAATGTTGCAGTTCAGTTTTTACAAGAAGACTGGTCATAGAAACTATGAACATCCATTCTCTCATACTTACTGGTCCCATTATTGTAGCTTGCCAATGGAACACTGAAAAAGAAAGAGATTTACTTCGGTTTGGAGAAGCTCAAGTAATGAATACTTAACGCCACAAGAAAGCAGTACAGAAGAGTCCATTTTAAAAACAAAACCTTCTGAGAAACTGCGAGGACAGCAGCCAAAAAGCTGAACAGAGACAGGGAGATGCACTCTGTGTTTCCTGCACATTCGGTCCACGCTTTCAGAAACTGCTGTGGTAGATACCTGTGCTGCACCCTGAAAGAAACCCCAGCACAACAAAAACACAGAGTTCACTCACTGCTTTGGACCCAACAAGTTTGAGCATTCAATCAGGTAGTTCCCAATGAAAGTCTACCATTACCTGAATCAAGCCCACTTTCCAACAGCTGCACTGCCCTTTCAGAGCGAGTTACAGCAGAGGCACAGAGGAAGTTCATCCCTTTCCTCAACAGGATCTCCTCTGCGTGGCTCCTTCACTGAACAAAGGGTAAACCTGAGCCGTGTGCAGCCCACAGGTAAGGAGCTCACCTACAGCCAGCAGCGTCCTGACCCAGCATCTACCTTCAGCCTCCACAGAAGCACGAGAATTCCATTAAAGCACAGAAAGTAACACAAGTCACAAAAGAACCTCAGAGTGAGTCTGCTAAACACTTGAGACCAGTGTGCCAGAATGCTTTAGGTTAAATGGGAAAAAAAGTCGTCTCACTCATGTGCATCTGTCCAAGAGAACATCTTAATCTGGTAATACAGAAGGCTTGTGAAGAACGTCTTTATGCTGCAGGACAGAAGGAAAATAATCAGTGCTGTTAGTCTGCAGTAATGTTCCCCCATATGTACTTAAGGGCTCTTGCTTTCTCCTAACACCCCGAGTTCACAGCACACTAGTTTAACGAGTTATTTCTCAGGTATTTTGGGAATTTTCCTCTGCCAGGATGTTGGCTGCACCTCACCTTTAGAAGTGGGGAGCAGAACACAAGCTGACCCAGCTGTAGGAGCCAAGTCTTTAAGGCACAGAAGTTGAAGCCATCTGCAGCTGCGCACTTCAGGTGCAACCAGTGCCCTCAGCTTCCACCCCGGCCCAAAGGTGGCTGTGACACAGTAACACTGTGTGCCTACTCTGAGTTGCTTTCAGTCACAGCTGTACAGGCACTACAAGCGAGTGTGAGCTCAGAAAGAATGGAAAAACGAGAGTAGAGACAGCCCTGCCAAGACTGAGTAGAAAAGCAGCTGGTTCAAGCAGCAGCTTTGTAACAAAGGGTGCTACAGCTGCTGACTGCAGCCAGCAAGGGAAAAGGACATTCAGCCAGGCTCAGGAAATGAAGACAATGCCTCGCTTCCAAACGCGACGTGCGCCCGTTTTAAAAGGTTCAGGCAGCTCCAGAGCAAGTCCACTGCTGGCAGCTGGAGGGGGGAAGGCTGGAACAAGAGGACAAAGAGGCGGCAAAAAGACAGTGAGGAGTGCAGCACTACAGAACACTGAGATTCTCACATGCATCAGTGGATGCTGGTTAAGGCTGACCCCAGCTGTGCTGAATATATAAAAATACTGGATGTTAACTTGAACACCTCTGCATGCTAGGAAGATCAACTGTGACACCTCATCACAGCCTTAAACCAGGAGAAATCAGAGTTACGCTACAATCTGGTAATGTAACCCCAACCCTGTTTCCCAAACAGAGAATGGAGCCAAGTGGAGGATGACAAAACCACCTTATCCAGAGAGAAAACGTATCCAGTCCCTGCAGCTGACTAAGCAGAAGCAGCTTTTCCCATTCCAGAGTTAATGTAACACTGGGATGAGCTGCTGACACCAGGAGACAGTTTGCATCAGCTGGACGAGGAAGATATCACTCTGAAAGCACAGCATGTTCTGAACCCTGAGAAACATTGTGACAAGGCAAGCAGGCAGGCCTCGAGCACAGCCAGCACTGTGAGAACAGCACCTTCCACTGCTGCCCCTGCTGTTCAGTTACACACCAGAGGGTGAGCTCTCAACAGAGCAAGATTTTCAAGGACCCACCAGCAAGGTGACAAAGACCTGGGTATTACTGCCAAATCGAGAAAGCTTTGAAGCCGCCCTCAACCACTGCTCAGCTCACGTTACCACCTCTTCCAGCATCCTGACTGGCCGCGACACGCTTCTGAAACAATAAAGCAGATCATTATGGCACCAGAAAATCCTCACTGGCTCTGCACCTTACTGAGTGCCTTCCCACACACCTGCAAGCTCCTTAGAAATACCATTCCTAAAGCAGGAAAGTGGCAGGATGCATACAAGTACTGCTAAAAGCCCTCAAACCAGGTACAGCTTCCACTTGCCTGAAGGCACTGCTAAACACTAATGCCTCCACAAAAAGAGAAATAATCAGTCTCTTCATTCTTCAAAGTGCTCTTTTTAACCTAGTCTAAGACTCACGAATTTATGTTTCTATGCACTGCAGAACTTGCCAATAGTTCTAAAGAGATTAACTGCCACAACTGATCAGAATCACTCTCGTAAGAAGAACCCCCAAGCCTATGAGCTCTCAGCACAGATGGAAGCCTCCCTTCTCAACACTCCTTGCTCCTACAAGCTTGGATGCCAGGCTGAGCAGCTGCCTTGTCAGGGATGCTGCTGCACAGCTGGATGCACCCCTGCAACAGCTGAACTGCTCTTATGCAGCCTCTCTGACATGGCACAGAGCCTCTACAGAAGCATCAACACATTGCCTTATCTCAGGCATTTTATGCTTTAAATACTCATGCATTTCATACACACTCATCTGGATTTTCCCCAGGGCAGGCTGTAAAGCTACAAAGCAAGAGGTGACCGTACAAGTGGTCCTGCCATTGCAGGCACCTTACTGACCTGGACCATCTAAACTGGGACCAAATGCTTAATGCTGATACAAAAAAGAAATTGCACTTTACCAAGAAGTGAGAAATTTTGATGTTAGAAGGCCTGAGCAACTTGTGAAATGACTTTGGTTCAGTTTAAAAGCCAAGGCCTCTCACAATAAAAAAAACCCACAACCCAACACCAATGGCTGCAGTAGGGGCCAACAATTAAGCTCTGTTACTCACAGGTGGTCCAGCAGCCTGGGGACCACAATCCAGAACTACAATAAGAAAGATCTATGTGAAGCCCATTAAATCATGCAGTGCATCTTGCCCCGTTCTAGGAGAAAACACACGAGCAAGGTAACAGGAGACCTTAGCACAAAGGAAAGAAATGCAGAGGAAGGCTCTGAGCAATAACAGCCTCCTTCCACACGGCTCTCTGAGCTTCAGAAGGAGCAGAGAAAGATGCCCAGGTCTCCCTACCAGGAGAACTCGGAGCAGCTGGTGCCTGGGCCAACAAGGCAGCCCAGCTGTTCCTTCCCAGCACGCTGCTCCCTTCAGGGACCTGGCAGAGCCAACTGCTTAGAGAGGATTTAAGCACACCAGTACCTTGCAATTGAAGGATCCTCTGCCTGCACTTCATCTCGTAGCTAAGCACCCACATACAAATCCAGTGACAAAGCTGTCACCACAGCAAGACCTGCACATTCAGATTTTGCATACTCAGAAGTCCTGAAGGAGCAGCAGATTGAGTTAAACCCTGCCTGAAGGTCTCAACTCGTTCTTCAGTCCTTACGCTGGCATACCCTATAGAGCAACAGCACAAACCAACTGAAAGCAAACAGCTTTTTCAAGTGTTCCTGTAACTTAAAAACCAAAAAATACTTGATAATTCAAGCTTCAATTCACTAATTAGTTTTCCTTCCATTCACATTTTACCTTGCTACCCTCAAAGACTGTGCATTACCTCTTTAGGAAATGCAGTGGTTGCTTTAAGTCCTGTGTAAAATATAGTTAACTGTGACCTTGATGTACCACCACCCAGCATTGGAGCAGACTGCTTTACTTCCACAGGACCACGTGAGCACACTATACATAATTTAGGTACCAAACAAGTTTTGTCAGCTGTAGGAGACTGCACACTGGTTGGGCCAGGGTTGGACTGCAGTTCAGCGCGCGCTGACTGCACGTGTTGATACCAGAATGCCAGAGCACTGGGGGAGGAAACAGAGCTCCCCATGAAATGGGCACAGATCTCAGGTGATCCACAGGGATGGCATCACAGGTACAAGTGTCAGGCTGGTGTGGGGAACAGTCTCCAGTACAAGTTCTCCTCATGGAGGAACCAGGTGCCCTGGTTTAGAAGGAAAACAGTCCACACGTGCACACTGACAGTGCCATACTTACTGTCATCACCAACAGGCCCTGCTGAACACTGTGCTGGAGGATCACGTGCCAGATCATTCAACTCCTAGGAAAACAAAAAAACAGGAACAGCTGTTTCATTTAATTTCAACACCACTCACATTATTACTGTTACAAAAGCTGCTGGTGGCACTCGGGCCATTATTAGTCCTGCTCTCTGTGGGAGCGCTGCTCATCAGCTGCACGCATCAGTGAGGTGAGAGCACAGGGATGGACCACCACCAAGCCAACACCCCAGGACACAAAGTCACTCCCAAAATCAATGCCACATATTTGGTGCACACTCAGTTACCCCTCCTGGGTTTCCTGACACTCCGCTCACACAACCCTCACGAGGTCACAGGGTCTATCAGCTCAACTTCACCTTCGCTGAGAATAAAGCTCAGAACCTGGACTGCACCCCAGATTTCTCATGCATGGAACCACAGAGCCAGAGCAGCTCCAAGCCAACGACCCACTGCCAGCCCTCCCCCTCCCTGCCCCACAGCAGCTCCCAGGCACTTTCACTCACTGCAGAACTTTGCTCACCCTGTTGTTTCATCAGGCTACAGGTGGCTGGACAACAAAACACAAGGCTCTGGTAACCAGCTCAAGTGCACAGGTACAACACCAAGCTTCTGAAGCAGCTGTAACAGCCAAGCAATCCTCTGACAAGTTCCAAAGCACAGCTGTGTGACGTGAACCAAACCACCCCAACCTCCAGCTCGGAGCTGGCCTTCGGCTGGGCTCAGGGCCCACAGCCACCCACTGCTCACACCTGCAGGCCGCTCAGGAAGCGGGCACTGAACGACACACAAATGGAATAAGACCCCAAAACCCAACCATTCGTGTCGTGCCAGGCTCAGACACTGAGCCCAGTCCCTTGTGGACTTGGGCTGAAACAGACACTGAGCGTGCAGCGCCTGCCGAGCAGCTATGGCACACCTGAAGGTGGGCAGCACCTCCACACGTCTCCATTAAACAAGAGGGAAGCCCTTCACAGTTGCAAGTAGGTTCAGAGCAGCCAATTTTAGCCCTGTGAGGATTCCCTTCTTCCTCCCTGACTGAAACATGAGCCAGCAAAGAGCTCCTTAAAGCACTCGCTCCCCATCATCACACTTTACACCACCCACTGCACACCTGTTTCAGCCCAGAACATTACATACACCAAGCTCCAACCCGAGCTGCAGAACTCTGCTTCATCTCGCAGCAGTGTGTACTGCGACAGCATTCACAGAGAGGCGGCCTCAGAAACACAGCACCCCTCAGAGCAGTGCCCTGAGCTCTGCTCCAGCCCCAGCAAGCCCAGCAGAGGCTGTGCAGCCAGCTCTGTGCCTTCCTGCTCAGCTGACAGGCACGTGTCCCTCACACAGAGGGCAGCAGCTCTCTATCTATACACACACACACAGTAAGTACCGACATAAGAACTTAAAAGTACAAATAAAAATTCAGGAGCTTACCTCACTTTTCTAAGAGCCTGTAATAACTGCGTGAAGCACAGTAACTTCCGAATGCTATTGACCCTGATCTCCTGGAGAAGGCAATTTAATGCTACAGTACTCAGAATTCTAAACACATCCATTAGCAAAAAACACCTAAGCCTCTCCTCTGTATCAGCTGCTAACCTCTTCTCCCCCTCTGTGCACACCTACAACGCAGCAAGGCCCCCCTGGGGAGGAATACCACTGCAAGAGCACACCTGTGTCATGTTAGACCACAAGCTACCACTGCCTAGGTTTCAGAGCCCAGCACACATCCCCTCCACCACAGCCGGGAAACCAAAGGTGCAGCTGGCAGAGCTGCCCCGCAGCAGCACCTCCCCAGCACCCCATGTGGCCCCGCTGCAGGCAGGGCTCACAGCAGCGACGCAGCAGAGCTCAGTCAGCAGCAGCACCCCTTCTCATCAGGGCACTATGTCCTTCTCTTCAATGTGGGGCCCCAGGCAGAAGGGATACTTCAGCTTTTGTATGTGTGCACAGTACCTCACTGCAGAGGTGACTGGGTCACACCACGGGGGTCACTGTGCAGCACTCCCTGCAGGGAGCATTTCAGGCTCTGCTTTACAAACTCACAAGTTGCAGCACCACTGACTGAAAGGCCTGTGTAAGTGATGCACAGACTCCTTACACTTAACAGAAGTTTTGAAACAACTTCTAAATTAAGCTCCTGCAACGCAAAGCCCTGCAGCTGCTGTAGGGCAGCCAAAATAACAGCAGAAAAGCTGGACCTCCACAGGACACCTCTGGAGCACGAGCTGCACATGGCACTACCCCTGCAGCCTCAACACTGCAAGGGCCAACTGCAGAACGGTGGGGTTGGGAGGGCCCTAACAGCACCCTATCCTCACCCCTGCCACGGGCTCAGTGCCCCCAACAGCTCAGGCTGCCCGGGGCCCATCCACAGCCTGGGGCACCTCAGCCCTGGGCAGCAGTGCCAGGGTTTGAAACTTCCTCCTCACACCTGAGCTAAGCTCCCCTCTCTCCTAACTGAGAGCCATCACCACACTTCCTGATACAGATGAGAGGCGCTCTGGCTCCCCAAGCACCCTGGTGGCATCTCCCAAACTCACTCTCTCCCGTGCTGAGGAATGATGGTCCTCACAAAAGGGGACGGCCCCCTCCTTCACCCCGCTGCAGCCCAGGACACAGCTGCCTTCTGGGCTGCCAGCACACAGCCAGCTCACTGCTCTCCACCCACCAGCCCTCTCCACAGGCTGCTCAGGCCATCGGCACTCAGTCTGGGATGGGGAGCAGCCCCCATCCAGGAGCAGCACCCTGCACTTGGCCCAGATCATCTTCAAGATGGTCACATGAGGCCACCTCCCCAGCCTGCCTGGTTCCCTGGGTGTCACCCACCCCCTCCCTCCAGCACGTCAGCTGCACCACACAGCTTGCTGAGCCTGCACTCGCTCTGCCATCCACACCACTGCTGCATTAACACAGCACAGGGCCTCCTAGCAGGGCACGGATACCACACTTAACATAGCTTTCTCTTCAAGCTGCCCATGTACTACCCAGACCTCTACCAGTCACTCATCAGACTTGTAGGGCCAAGTTTAAAAACAGGAATGATAGTTACATGCAGCTACACCAGACCACGCACAAACAAAGCATGGCGTCCAGAAGGTTACCTTGCCTTTTAGAAGCTGTTGGTGCAGTTCACAAGGCAGAGCACCCCAGCCTACCCAACACTTGGTTTCCAGATGTTACTGAGGGACAGAAGAAACACCATCTTAAATCTGAGCTAATTACCCAGGTGCTCATACGAAACTAACTTCTCATACACAGAAGCTTCCACTGCAGTTTGGTGTCACCTACAAAGCTGACGTTGCCACCTACCAGGCCCCAACCTGCCCTATTCTCCCTCTGTGCTCACTGACCAGGTCTTGACAGCACTGCCATCAAACCAGCACCTGGAGGAAGTTGCAGCTGGCTATCAGTTGAGTTTCTGGTGCAGAAGGCTTTGCTGGAAGAATGTAAAAGCCAACGATCAGGCAGCCTTCAGGCAAGTTCCAGCTGAGGTTTTTGGCTCCTAGGAGCCTGCCCCCAAGCGCAGCGGGACAGCAAGCTGCAGGGCTGCTCTCTCCTCCACGGCGCCAGGCCCACTGCTGAGGATCGTACCATCACTCAGGCCTACCTTAAAAGTTTTAATTACCCCTCAGCAAAAGTAAGGAACCGAAGACCCGATGCAAAGCACAGTTCAAGTACCTTGCCCAAAGAGCAAGTCGTACGAAACTACATCTGGGAAGTGGGCATTCCAGTAAAGCTACAAGTCTTGCACAAGAAACAGCCCTGCTGGTGCTCGAGTTCCCCACAGAAAGCACAGCCCCACGCGGCGCTCCAGGAAAGCGTTTCAGAAGAGATGCAGCGTGTGACACAGAGCGCCTCACTGCGCCAAGGCCAAGCCGAGCAGCGAGGAGGGGCGCAGGGTGAGCCTGCAGCCCTGCTCAGAGCCACCACCTGCCGCCCTGCCCCCACCGTGCCACAACCCAACGGCATTAGGAGCTGAACCGGGATCTCCATGACAGCGCAAGAAGTTCTCACAAACAGGAGCGCTCCAAGTTCCAGCTTCAAGCTTCACCCTGCGCACGTTCCAAGCTTTAACTCGTTTATTTGTAAACTCCAGAGGCATTCGTCACAGATGTGCGAGTTCACTTCCGCACACAACGAGCCCCACGCTGCCCATCTGCTGCGTGGCAGGGCGGCCCTGGCCAGCAGACAAGGCTGCTTTAAGGATTCTGTCCTGACTGCGGCACAACAAGCAGCACCAAGCGGCCAGCAGGGCGAGAGGACGGCAGCTGTCCTGGGGCAGCTCCTCAAACACACTCCAACGCCTCACACAGGACTCCAGTCAAAGATTACGCAAAGCCGTGGTCCCTCCTCCTCACTCCAGTTTGAGCTGCTTTCAGAAGCTCTAATTGACTCAGAGACCACATCATTAGCTTGATTGTAAGCCTTATTTTCACTTACAGCAGCAGCAACCTGACAGCAAAATAAGCTTTTAATCTGTCTTCGGCAAGAATCTTTGCCTGAAGCCCCCAAATCCCTCAGTGACAGGCAGCCTAGGACCGTGTCATAAAACTGTGATTTAACTCACCAAAAAGGAACTTGGAGCCATTCAACCACCATTTCCTGGCAGCTTTAAATAGATTATTGCCAAGCAATACATAACAGAGCCAATGACCAATAGCACTGCCTGCCAGCAACCTGCACAGGTCCACACGTGTGGAAGGGGCAGCAAGGCCCCCCAGCCTGCCCCACAGCACAGCTCCTGCACCTACCTGACACAGAAGCCAGCACACAGGGCAGGCTGTGAAGCAACACAGCTCTGGTTCCGTTTGTCAAGGCAGCGCTCACAGAAGCTCCAGCATCCAACTGTGGGTTCCAAAGGCACTTTTGGTCTACAAGACTCTGCAACTCCAAAACAGCTCCCATTCTAAGGCTGCTTCTTCCGAACAACAGAAACATTTTGATCTTCAGAAGGATTTGAATCCTTCTCCTTTCACAGAATCTGCCTTTCTGGGGCATGGAATGGCTTAGATCCACTGGCCTTCTTGACAACACTTGCACATGAAAAGGCAGCAAAAGAAAAGCCAAGCTTAATGAAACACAGAGCCTGCCAGGGTACGCGCTACAACGAGCTCTGATGTAAGCATCAGTCACCTTTCATCTTCTTTCAAAGCCTGAACAGCAAGAACACCAAGGCAGCACCTAACTTCCTCTGGGTGCAGGGACCGAGCGCTGCACAGCCCAGGCACCAGGTGGGAGCCGAGCTCAGCAGGAAGCACTGAGCTGCTCCCACGAGCTGCTGTGAGGCCAAACTACAGCACAGACAGAACAGTCCAGAGGCAGGGAGCACACGGATCGCTTGGCGCTGCTCAGTTGCCCAGTAACCTCAACACAAGGCAGCCAGCAGCCCAACAGCAGCATCACTACAGAGCTGTGCGCTTTACAGCAGAGGCCCGCAGACGAGCGCTAAGGCAGCATCCCCAGCACAACTCCTCATTCCCTTGCTCCCTCACTGCAGGGCCCACCACAGGAGAGCACAGAGGACCAAGTTCACCTTCCCCTTGCTCTCCCACTCCAAGCAGGGCCCTGCTTGCTCTGTTACAAGGGTAGGGATAAGGCTGAAGTCCTGAAACAAGCACCATCTGTTACGGTCCTTCAGCCTTGCCCCTTCCCTAGCCCTGTATGTCGTCACATGGCATTTCTTCTAAGATATTGGTGATGATCAAATCTATGAGTTATAGTAAAATGCTACTCCCACACTTCACGGCTACTTCGGCCACCATGACGGCACGCATCCCAGTTTGCCCAGAACTGAACACTTCTAAAACCTGGAGCTCCTTCCTCATGAAATCCGAGTGCCAGTGGAGAACCTTGGGAGAATTAAGAGCACTGCAGGAACACCACAAGCAGCAACTTGAGAGCAGCTCCTCCGTGTGTGATCCCCCCGGCAGCATCTGCTCTGAGAACAGCTGCAGAGCTGGCACAGCAGCTCCAGGCCTGGACAGCCCCTCAGCCCCACAGCTGGCAGCACCTCCACGCTGACAGCAAGACTTCTGGTCAGATGGCAGGCAGCTTTGGGCTCTGCCCCACTTCCAGCCCAGAGGGGCTCGGTGTGCCAGACACCGCTTCGTGCAACAGCAGCTCCAGGGCATCAGAGGTTTGTTCACTCCTGGGGTTTGCTGCTCGTTCCTGAAGTTCTCATCCCTGCGTTGTCCAAGAACTCTGCAGAAAGCCTCATGCATGGTCTGTGGTAGGGAATAAAATCCAAGCACCAGGCATAAACACCAGTGGCAAGATGCAGACACGTACACTGGTGCCATCGAGACTGATGCATCCTCCAAAAAAATGCCTGAACACCAGCTTTCCTCTCCATTGCTTCTTTGTACACAAGCCTGCTGGGGTTACTTCCACTTAATCCACACTCCACAGCCTTTTGTTCCTGTCACCAGGTGCAACAGCAGAGGCTGGAGCCACTGATCAGGACAGGGCCAACACTGCTGCAGCTCCTGCAGACAGGGCAACACAGGCAAGATGGGCATCCCACAGAGCTCAGCACAGCCCAGGTGAGAGCAGACACTGGTAGGCAGCTGAGCGAGGCACCACAGCACTCCTCCACCTGCAGCCCGACTCCAGCTAACTCTCAGAGCACCCAGACTAGCAGCTGAGCATCACATCACAGCCCTGACCAAAGCTTTTTGCTTGCAGCACCATTTCCACTGCACTGCTCAGCACTTTGCCAAGCTCTGTGCACCACTTACGCAGCCCATCCTGCCTCAGGTTCTTCACCTCCGAGGAGCAACACAAACAGCCCACCCATGAGCAACCCATGCTCACCAAGGGACGGCACGCTCCATTTCTCCTCCTGAAGCATGAATAGCAAGCAAAGCAAGCGCTGTTTCAAGGAAGGAACTCTGCTGATCTGCCGGTGGCCCCGAGGCAGGCACATCACCTCGCACTGCCAGCTGCCCTGTGCTCACAGCTCTGTCCAGGCAATCCCGACGCTGTCCCAGACCAACGCTCCCCTTCCAGCTCCGGCATCAGAGGCTTCCAGAACGACCAGGGAGCCGCAGGGGAAGCAGCCTCGATCATCTACCATGTCGCGTTGAGTATCGCCACGTTAGGTGACCGAAAGCCTCGGATCGGACCGATACTGAACTGGAACGCCGCTCCCTTACGTAACCGGTTACCGCGCGAGTTCCAGTAACTAAAATTACAGCGGAACGGCCGGCCCGCCGCTGGGTGCACACAGCGCGCCGCTCTCCTCAGCTCCGAGCGGCTCGAACCGCAGCCCAGCTCCGGCCGCGGTAAACACGCCCAAACGCGGCCCTCGTCCGGCGCCGCAGAGCGTGGCGCGCCCGGGGCGCGGCGAGGAGCCCAGCGGGCCCGCGGACGCCGTGCCCGGCCGGGCCGCCACCGGCCACAAGCCGGCCCCGGTGCGGGCCGCGGCTTCCCGGCTGAGAACCGCCCGCGCCGCGTCGGCCTCCGCAGCGCCGGGCCTCCTCCGCCCCGCTCCGCTCCCCGCCGGCGGCCCCGCGCCCCCTGGCGGCCCCCGGAGTTCCCCGGGGCCACGTCGCGGCAGCGGCGGGGAGGGGGGGGTAACGCGGGGCAGCGCCTCCCGGTGCGGCGGAAGGCCGCGAGGCCGGGCCGTCCTCCCGCGCCCTGCCCCCGGGCCTCGCCCCGCCGCCCGGCCGGCGCCCCGCGGTCCGGCTCGGTTACGGCGGCGAGCCCGGCGTCGGTGCGGGCCGCGGGGCTCGGCCTTACCTTGTGGATTCTCTTCAGCGCCATTGTGTGCGCGGTGCGAGGAGGGGCGCGGGGAGGGGGCGGCCGCGGGGAACTACTTTCCGCGGGGGAGGGGAGGAGGAGGAGTGCGGAGGTGGCGGCGCGGGGGGAGGAGAAGGGGGGGGAGGAGACGAGGGGGAGGGGAGGGGGCCCGGAAGGCGGCGGTACGGCGAGGGGCCCGGCGCGGCCTCGCGCTGCTCCGTGGGCCGGCCGCGCTGCGCTCGCTAATGCCGCGCCGCGCCGCTCGCTCCGCCGCCGCTTTATGCGCTGCGCCGCGCCGCTCTGGGATGACCCCTTCCGCGTATCGCTCCGCCGTGCCCTGCCCGCCGCCGCACCGCCGCCGCCCGGAGCGAAGCGGGAGGAGCCCGGGAGAGAACGCCGCGGGGGGAGGGCCGGAGCCGGGCCGGGGGCGCGGAGCCGGGCGGGGCGGGGGCGGGCGGGAGGCGCGGGGACTATTTGCCGTGCGGCGCGCGCACAGAACTCTCCAGAAGGGGGAGGGGGAGAGCGCGGAGGGATACGACGGTGCCGCCGCGCGTGACGCAACGATCTCGCGTGAAGCAAACGCCTCGCGTGACGCAAAACACCTCGCGAGACGTAAAGGTCTCGCGAGTAGTTGGGGCGGGAAGAAGTCTCGGCCGCGCCGCCGATGTGAGGGGCGGCGCCGCGGGAGCGCGCGGGAGTTTCGGGCAGCCTGCGCCGTGCCGAGCGCGTGGCGCGAAGACGGGCGGGGGCCCGGGCTGTGGCGCTGTGGGAGCTGGGCGGCCGTGCTGGCGGCAGGTCTCCAGCTCCTGCTCCTTTTCAGCCATCGGAGGACAGCCTGGTTCCCGGTGTGTTCGTTTACAGTGAATTACAGCGGGGTTTTTAACCTCACCCGTCCGCTTGCCTTCAGATGCTGCAGCAGGGCCGCTCCCTGCCCTTCGCATTCTCACGTGAAGGGCTCGAAGGAGAGGCGGGGCGCTGAAACCCTCAGCTCCGCGCCGCAGCTGCGTGCATCCACCCGCTGTGCTGCGCTCGTCCTGCAGCTCCGCGAGGCCCTGGGGAGGCACAGGCTGTCTCTGCTCCCGCTGGCTTTGCTGCTGCTGCCCTTTGTACGACAACTTCAGGTGTTTCCTCCAGCAGCTTTAGCTCACAGGGCGTCTCCCAGCACACAGAGCTCTTTCGCCGTGGCTGGGCAGAGACGTGCTTCAGGCAGCGGCTTCACATCCCCCTCTCATGCTGAAAACAGCCCGTGGCTCTCAGAGCGATCGCAGGAAGGGCAGCCTCCTGCTTGGCTCTTCTGCTTTACTTTGCACTGCGGCTTGGGCAGTTCTTGGGACGCCTTCAGGTCACAAATCCTGAGGACTGGGCCCTCCTTTTTCAGAGCTCTGTGGATTTTGTCACCAAATTGGAAAACTCAGTTGAGCTCACAGTGGCAACAGAAGCAGCCTGGGTTGCTGTTTGTTCCTTGTTGAGCTCTGAAAAGCCCCCTTTGAACAACAGTTCAGGTTGGATATTAGGAGGAAGTTTTTTCCCCCAGAGGGTGGTGAGGCACTGGCACAGGTTGCCCAAGGAGGCTGTGGATGCCCCATCCCTGCAGGCATTCAAGGCCAGGCTGGATGTGGCTCTGGGCAGCCTGGGCTGCTGGTTGGCGACCTGCACACAGCAGGGGGTTGGGACTGGATGAGCACTGTGCTCCTTTGCAACCCAGGGCATTCTGTGATTCTGTGATTGTAGAACTCAATCCGGATAATCAACATCTGTGAAAGTAACAGTTTAAAAACACTTTCGTTTTCATTTTTCTGCCAGGGACGTTTTTCTATTTCCTACCACATGGATGTGAGCTTCTCTAAGGAATGTAGAAAATTCATTTTCATAGTTGTTATTGCAGAATCACAAAATGGTTTGAGTTGATGGACCTCTAAAGGCCATCCGGTCCAACTCCCCTGCAATGAACAGGGCTGGGGTGCAGCTGGATGGCAGCTGGACATGGGGCAGCACTGACCCCCACCGCACCCCCCATGTCACTGATTCGTGCACAGGAGACGTGGCTGCACAGGGCCAGGTGAGCTGAGAGGCTCTCAAACAGCCCCACGCTGCCACGTGCCCCACCTCGATTTCCCTTTGCCACACCACAGCTCAAACCCAGAACTGACACAGCTTTGAAGCCTGATGGAAGTGAGTTCTGCAGTGATTTGCTCTCGGTCTCAGTTAAATGTGCTTAAAAACACAGAGTTGAGAACCCCAATGGATGTGTGAGGAAATTCCAAGGAGGCTGTGAGCAGCATGCGGCCAGCAAGGCGTTAGGGCAACAGGAGCACAAAAAAAAACTGTCCAGGAGATGGAGGTTTTTCTTCATGCATCAAAGCAATGCTGGGGGCTTCGTTTGCTCTTCTATTGGTTTTGCTTTTAAGCCATGGGTTTTTCTACAAGAAGAAAAAGGCTTTGGGGGAATTGCAGCGCACGACGATCCAAACAAACGCACTGTCCACTAGGCAGACACAGAAATTGTTGCTGTTTTGTTGATGTGGTTTCCATTTCTGGCAATTGCTACCCCATCCTCCCATGGTTGCTTTGTTTGTTCTTTCACAAGCTTGTTCTGGTTTTGGTGCAAACCAAACTAAAGCTCATTTTCATGGCACGGCGGATGTGTGCCCCAGGACCGACTCCTGCCCAGTGTCTCCTCCACGAACCTCCCTCAGATGCAAGTCCTGGCCAAGAAGGCAGCAGTTGTTTCCTGTAAGTGGGTGGGAGAGGAGGAACAAGGAAAGAACACGGCCACACCCCCATGTAATTACAGCTGCGCAATGGGAGAAGGAAGCCAGGCGTGCACAAGGTGGCACCTGGAGGACGGTGGCCAGCGGTCAATGGCTGCATGTGTGGATGGAGATCAGGGACAAGCGGTAGCCCTCCGGGGTCCGTGCTGGGACTGACGCTCTTTAACATCTTCATCAGTGACACTGAGAGTGGGATTGAGTGCCCTGTCCGTGCAGGCAGCCAAGGTCTGGCTGGATGGGCTGTGAGCACTGCTGGGCTGCGAGTGTCCCTGTGCTCTGCAGGGGATGGACTGCACGGCCTTCGGGGGTCCCTTCCAACACGGTTCTGTGATTCTATGATTCTCTGACCTGTTACAAATGAGAAGTGGCTGGAAGGCGTGTGCACCTGCAGCATCACGCTGCTGTGATCTCACTGCACTCGGGCCCATGCTGTGCCCACTGCCCACACGGCGGGACGTGAGGAAATATGCGGATACCTGCTTCCCTGTGCCAGGAGCTGGGTGAGAGGCAGCTCACGGCAGGAGGGCAAAGGCTCCTGGGACCTGGGGGCATTGCAGGTGTCCCGACACAAGAGCGGGAACACCTCAAAGAGCAGCAGACTGGAACAGCCCCAAAAGCAGAAGGGCTCCTCCACTTGACACGTGCACAAGAACCCACTGCCATGGGCACTGCAGGTGCTGGCAGCTTAAAGGACATCAAAAGAAGGCTGATAAATCACAGATTTATCTATTATCAAAGGGAGAAAATCTCTCAGGGAAGAAGCTCTGGTGTCACAAAAGAGTTGAGAACCCCAATGGATGTGTGAGGAAATTCCAAGGAGAGGGCAGGAGCTCCAGAGCATCCAATGTGTGCAGAGAGGAGGCAGGCACAGGGCAGAGCCTGGAAGCAAAAGCGAGATGGGCATAGAATCATAGAATCATAGAATCACAAGGTTGGAAACGACCTATAAGATCATCCAGTCCGACCGTGTCCTCATCACCATTGCCACCACCAGCACTAAACCACATCACACAGCACGTCATCCAGGCGCCTCTTGAACACTACCAGGGACGGCAACTCCACCACCTCCCTGGGCAGCCATTGCAGTGCCTGACCACTCTGAGAGAAGAAGTTCTTCCTTATGTCCAACCTAAACCTCCTCTGATACAACTTGCAGCCATTGCCCCGTGTCCTGCTCGTTGCCTGGGAGAAGAGGCCAAATCCCTCTTCACCACAACCTCCCTTCAGGAAGTTGTACAATGCAATGAGGTCTCCCCCGAGCCTCCTCCAGAAGAAACAGGGCAGAATAGAGTGGGGGGATTGAAAAAGCAGGAGAGTGGCACAGCCATGGGCAGGAGCTGGGAGTGGGGAACGGGCCCGTGGTACAGGGGTAAAAGCAGGCACCTGCCTGTTTTGGCCAGCCTTGGCACTAGGGAGGCGCACGGCCCTCTGCCTGCATCAGGAGCCCGGGCTGTGGCAGCGCCCAGGTGGGTAAGCAAGGTGGGCAGGAGCTCCAGCCGTACCCTTGGTGCCCATGAGCAGAGCCCCAGGCTGCCCTGGGGCTGTGCTGGGAATGCTGTGTCAGCCTCACTGGAGGAATCCATTGCTGCTGAAGTTCTGCTTACTTTGGAAACCCACTCGAAGCGAAAACAAGCTTGCTTTCATTTCCTTCCTCATTCTATCCTTTGCGAGTTGGCAGGGATGCTGGGGTTTTCCAGAGCCATAAACTCCTGCATGTTGTAACCTGCAGCATTCCCCCTAGCTGCCCAGGGCCCAAAGCCACAGACACCCCCCAGGTGCCCAGCATGGGAGGCTCCACGCCTTCCCTTGCCACTTACAGCTGCCAGAGCAGCTTTCATTTTCGTTTTGTTTTCCATTAGGTTTGCAGCAGCCGTGCAGCTCTGCCCTCTCCGTGCGGCAGGAGCGGGTGCCGGCCCTGCATAGCGGTCGCATCCAGAGGAAGCGGAGGCTGTGGCTGTGCGTGCTTGAGCGCTGCTACGCCCGCTGCCCTCGGCGCAGACATCGCGGTGCCGAACATCACGGCCGCACCTCGGTGAGTGCCCACGGGTGCGGAGCAGGGTGGCGTTAGCAGCAGGGGCGGCAGAGCGGTCGGCGAGGCGCCGGTTTGGGCTGTGCTTGCGAGCTTTGGAGTGCTGACTGAGCTCTGGGCGTGCACGTCCCCGCTCCGCCGCGCTGATGTGGATCTCGGGGGTCCCGGCGGCTGCCCCCCACCCCCCCTTCCTGCTCGCAGATGCCCCAGGATCCGTCGACAAGGAGCAGCCCTGCTGCCCTGCTCGTCCCCGAGCCCCGCGCGGGGCGGGCACAGCATGCGGCATGCGTGCTGCTGGCTGTGTGCTTCGTGGTGCTGCTCCTGACTGGGGAGCCCCTGATGTCCATCACCCACCGTGCCTGCACCCAGCTGGCGGCCATGCAGCTCGGGGTGCTGCTCAAGGGCTGCTGCTGCCTGGCAGAGGAGATTTTCCACCTGCACTCCAGGTGAGCACCACTGGGGGATCCGCTCCCTGTCTCTGGCTCCCACCTGGCCCCTCCAGCCCAGGCGTCAGCCCCTCTTGTCCCTCGCCCATCCAGGCACCACGGCAGCCTCTGGCAGATGCTGTGTGCCTGCTTTCCTCCACGCTGGCACCTGGCCCTGCTCCTTGTCAGCGGCTCAGCCTACCTGGACCCTCAAGAGGACGACGGGCACAGCCCCCGCCTCACCCTCGCCTGCCTGTGCCAGCTGCTGGTCCTCACCCTCGGGCTGCAGGTAAGGGGATGCTCAGCAGTGGTGTTCAGCCACCTGGCTCCGTATGTGCAGAGTGCTGCTGGGAAGGGGCTGGGCACACCCTGCCCTGCCCTCCCATCTGCACGGCCACCACCGCTCTGGGTGCTGGCACAGCCATCGCCCTTTGTCCCCTCTGAGCCCCGCCGCTGGTTTTTTCCTCCTTTTCCCTCTGCAGAAGCTCTCAGCGGTGGAGGTGTCAGAGCTGACTGAGAGCTCCAAGAAGAACGTTGCTCACGGCCTCGCCTGGTCCTACTACGTCGGCTACCTGAAAATAGTTCTGCCACGTATGGAGCTGTTCCCCTGCACTGTCACGGCTATGGATGGAAATGGCTCCCACAGCCCTGCCACTTCCACAGTGAGGAGCAGACCCCAGTGCCGCTCTCCCCTCAAACCTCGCTCTTCCTCCAGGCCTGAAGGAGTGCATGGAAGAGATCAGCAGGGCCAACCCCATGCTGCAGGCACACCGCGACGCCTGGAAGCTCCACATCCTGGTCCCACTGAACTGTGACATCTGGGATGACCTGGAGAAAGCTGACAGCAACATCCAATACCTGGCAGACCTTCCTGAGACCACCCTGACCCGGGCAGGCATCAAAAGAAGAGTCTACAGACAGAGCCTGTATGTGATCAGGGATAAGGACGACAAGGTATGCTGGGGCAGCCCTGCATCCCCAGGTGGGTGAGGCGTCCCCAGGTGCAGGCTGGGGATGGAGGCAAGGCAGAGCTGCCCCGCTCAACCCATAGAACCACAGAACGGTTGGGTTGGAAGGGCCCTACGGCCCCCCAGCCCGCCCCTGCCGGCTGCCCCTCGCCAACTCAGGCTGCCCGGGGCTCCTCGCGGCACGGGGCACCTCCAGGGATGGGCGCTGGGCGCAGCACCAAGCCCTCAGCGGCGCTGCCCTCCCCACGCCGTCTCCCCGCAGCCCAGGCCCTGCGTGCTGGAGTTTGCGTCCCCGCTGCAGACGCTGTTCGCCATGGCGCAGGATGAGTGCGCAGCCTTCGGGAGGGAGCAGCGGCTGGAGCAGGCGCGGCTGTTCTACAGGACGCTGCGGGACATCCTGAGCAGCTCCAGGGAGTGCGCGGGGACGTACCGCCTCATCGCCTATGAAGGTGAGCACGGCCGCTCTGCCGAGATCCCCGCCCAGAGCCCCGCCTCTGCACGGACACGAGCGCGGCTTTGCCTTTCCTCTTTCCAGAACCGGCAGAGGCCGAGAGCCACTTCTTGTCCGGGCTGATCCTCCGGCACCTGCAGCAGCAGCAGCGCGAGGAGTACGTGGTGCACGAGGAGCAACCCCTGGGCACCGGCTCGGTGGAGCTCAGCCTGCAGGTCAGCTCCTCTGACCTGCCCCAGCCTCTGCGCAGTGACCGCCCCTGAGCCCGGCGCTCCCTGGCACCCGGGAGCCTGCAGCCCCGTGGCCGTTCGCGTTGTGCATTTCTCGTGTACGCACAAGAATGTGTGGTGTGTGCTAATCGGGTTTTGCCTTGTGTCATATTGAGAGAGTTGAGGATGTTCAGCGTGGAGAAGGCGCAGGGGAGACCTCACTGCAGCCTTCCAGGAGCGGTGGGAGCATGTGAACAGGAGTGATGACTTTTTACATGGGCAGACAGTGACAGGAATATGGGGAACACTTTTAAACTAAAAGAGGGGATTTAGGTTAGAAATCCTTCAGATTCAGAAATCCTCTGCTGCTCAGAGCTGTGGTGCCCCATCTCTGGAGGCGTCCCGTGCTGTGGATGGGCCCTGGGCAGCCTGAGCTGGGGGGCAGGCGACCCATGGCAGAGTGGGGCTGGGGGGCTGTGAGGTCTCTTTCAACCCAATTGTTCTGTGATTCTATGGTTCCATGACCTAATGATCACAGTCCTCAAAGGACCCTTCCAACCCAAACCCAACCCACTTTACGGTTCTATGATCTTGAAAGACCCTCCTGACCCTACATCCTGTGATCATGGAAGTGTTTTCCTTTTGGGGGTAAGTTCATGATCCCAAATCTTGGGCTCATTGGCAGTGCCCCAGTCCCGGCCACACGTGTGTGTGTGCCAGGTCCCTGAGCTGACCCATCCCAGCAGTAATTACGCACACAGATATCCTCATCAGGCCTGGGCACCTCTACCCTCGGGCATCCTACAGCATGAGGAACCTCCCTGCATCTGCTCCATGCAGTCACTTTATGCTGGCAGCCTTCTGCAGCACCCAGTGTTTCTCCAGCCTCAGGTGATGTGCCAGGCCCCTGGCTGTGCGCTCTGCCTCACTCCAGCTGCAGCCCTGGCTGATTTAGGGCAAATGCTTAGACTGAAGAGAGGGCTGCGCCTGGACTCAGCCCACGGGGACATGCCTGGACCTCTCTGCAGTGAGAACACCCCCCTGAGCGTTCCCTGAGCTGCCCAGCACCCAGCAGCACCCACACCGTTTGCCCACACGACGCATGTCCCCCGCCGCCTGATGCCAAAACCCCTTTGTCAGCAGCGTGGGGAGGCCACAGAGCTGTATGCTGCTGCTCTGTGCCTCGGTTTCCCCTTTTGCTAAAAGCAGACAGGCAGTTCAGTTGGATTGTTACCTTCTGGTGCTGCAGCACCCCTGTATGGATTCCATCCCTTTGGTCCCTCCCAGCTTTCAAGACTTTAGCAAAAGGATGAGGCCACCTGAGAGCTCCCAGGTGCTCAGCCTGCACTTCCAGCCTCAGGGAGGAGCTCAGCCGCTGCAGGGCTGAGCACAGCTGCCCGCAGGCCATGGCTGGCTCCATCCTCTGGGCAGCCCCAGCTCCTGCCTCTCTCCAGCCTTCCTTCCCAGGACAAAGCCTGGCAGCTGCCACAGTCTATGCAATTACTGGGGCTGCATCTCCCATGCACAGAGCAGCACAGGGTGGGAAATGTCTCTCCAGGCCCCAGCGAGCTTACAGGGAGATGTGGCTGCACGTTGGTCCTGCTGGGATTGGAGCTGGAACCTACGGCAGGATTCAGTAAAGCCTTAATCTGCAGCCTAATCCCTGGGCACCGCATCTGCGCAAGAGACGAAAGCGACAGATGAAAGGGTGGGGACCTCCTGCAGGGGGGAACGCGCTGGTGCTGCCCTGAGGGCTCTGCCCACCCTGCGCGGGTGGGGGCAGCGGCGCTGGCCCGAATCCACCGTCCGCCCCTTGTTGTGGAGAGCGGGAGCATCTGCTGGGCTGGAAGCGTGCGGTGCCAGGGCTGAGCTCAGCAGTGGGGCGCAGCCAGCGGCAGCTGCAGGGCAGCGAAGCCAGCAGCACCACGGCCCCCAGCTGCGCGCTTCTCTCTGCAGGGATGGTGGTGCAGCAGCAGCGCGCAGCTCCCTCCTGGTCTGGGCACTGCTCCCCACCGCCGCCCTCAGCAAGGCCAGGTTGGGCTCAGCACTGGGGACAGGCGTGGGCGCAGAGGGACGGCGCGGCTTGTTCCAGCGGGTCGTGCTGACGTCTGACAGCACAGCTCACGCTGCTGCTCAAGGACAAAGGCAGGGCCAAGCAATGGCAACGGGACAGCCGTGGCTGGCCGAGCGCGGTGGGCAGGGCTGGCGCAGAGGCAGCAACAGCGAGGCTGAGCAGCGGAAGCTCCACCAGACCTGAGCTGTTAGGGCAGCCGATGGTGCCCGCTGCTGGCTGGCGCTCGCAGGGCGGTGCTGTCTGCAGCAGCCATTGTCACCACCTCGGGCAGGGGGTACAAAACACCCCGACAACCCTGCACACCACCTGGATCTGGGTACGCTTGGGTACCGGGCTGCCAACAGGAGCAGAGCTGTGTGTGAGGCGCTGTCTTAAACCTGAGCACCTGAGTGTGAGTGCTGCAGGACAGGAGCACGGCCCCAAGCCAAACATCCACAGCCAAACACTTCAAGAGGTGCCCAGCACGCGCTGCAGCCCGGCTTGGTGCTCTTTGCTGCAGCAGCACACTGCTGCTGGGGGGCTTCTGCTGCTGCTCCCTGCAGTGAGCACACTGAGCTTCCCAGCCAGCCCTGCGGTGTGACTGTAGGGTCCTGCGCACCAGGGCTCAAAGAGCTGATGACCAAATTGGCACAGGGGACACACGTGGTGTTAGAGGCCTTGAATTGCTCTGCATACAACCTCTCCTTGCTGCAGCCTGTGTTTCATGCCGGAGATGTGTGGAGCACAGCCTCATCTGCAGGACCTCATCTGCAGGTCACCCATGCAGCTCTGCCAGGCTCAGACTGGAGCATGGACACCGCTGCCCTGTGCCCCTGGCCTCGTTCCGTGGGGACCATGCTGGCCCAGAGATGCCTGGCACAGCCACCCACAGCCCAGGTCACCTTCAGTAGCAGGGCTGAGCTGGCAGCACCTCACAGGGTGGCACGATCCCGGCATGCTGCATCAGAGAGCAGCAGATCTGCTACCCTGCAAGGGCAGGCAACCCAGAAACCACCTCTGTGGCGTCTACCATCAGCCGGCGATGATGGGAGAGGCCCAGCATGGAGCAGGGAATTGATTTCATGGTCAGGATTGAGTGAGCAAGGCAGAGCCAGATGTACCCTGGCTGCACAAGGACTGGGGCCAGGGCCGACTTTGGACACAGCTGCCAAGCAAGGCCGAGGCTTCCCGCAGCTCCTCCTACCCCAGCAGGTTCTGTTGTGTCTTTAAGCCCTGCTCTTGCACGTCCTCTTTGCCATGGATGAAAAGCCGGCACTGCAGCCTGCCCTGCAACCTGCACTAATGCAGCAACTGTCGGGGACAGAGGGCTGGGAAGGGGGAGGCAAAGTGCTCCCTAATTCTTGCCTTTCTGTTTGGATACAGTGAATTTCAGATCTCTTTTCATGGAGGAATTCATATATTAAAGATCACTACACTGGAAGCCCCAGGAATGTTAAGGCTGACTCCAGCTATACGAGCCAATATTTAAAGGAGGGGATGGAGCTAAGAGTTGCTTTAGGATTAGGATGAGAAGTGTTTTTGGCTGAGAAGCCAGTTCCAGCCCACATGGCCCCACTGGGTGAGCAGCCTGCCAGCACTCTTGGAGCTGCCCTCTCCAGGTGTGCCTGGGGATTTTTTAACTCCTACCTGTTCTGCTCAGAACTCCCAGCTGATGCTGACATCTGTGACTGTGGGTTTGAGGAGAGAGAATTCCTCTCCTGTTTTACTGCTGGGTTTAGGGGTTGAGAGGCCAGCATCAGTATGACCGTCTGAAGCATGTTCCTGTAAAGGACACTTGGAGAGCTGAAAACATCATCCAGCACTCTGAGAAGCCTTGTTTCTCTGCTTGCTGCCCTGTGATGGATGGGGCATCTCGGACAGGTTGGGCTGCGCCTGCTGCATTGCTGAGCAGCAAGAAAGCTTTAAAAAAAGGCAACTGGTGTTGCTCACCAACAGAATCTGTCCTTTACTGCAAGATGGTTCCTTCAACCTGGTTGACATCTTCAAAGACTGACATTTCAAGTCCTCTCAAACATGTCTGGGTGTCAATCCCAAGCATCGTTTAAAGGCTTTGGGATCGTTGCTGCTTGCCATGGGGAAATGACCTTTTTTTCTCTTTAAGCCTCTGCACGGTTTCTCTGGCCCACAGACCGTGCAAAAATCAGTTTTGCTCAAAGTCAGAAGAAGCTGAGCTATTTAAATTCATCCAGTTTGCAGTGACAAAGATGATAAAGAACGCTTGTGTGTTCACATGCCAACATGAGCAGCATAAGGACAGACGTGGCTTAAAGGAAGAACTAACTTACTTGTGAAGCTGAGCAGCTGATGCGGATGTTGGCTTTCTCCCTCCTGCTCTTGCTGGTGGTTAGTGACTGGATCATGGAAAATGTGTTGAGGTTTCCTGTTTTTGCTTACATTCCCAGGAACAACTGTCTGCTGCATCCTGAGAGCTCGTGCCAAGCATATACCTTGGCTGTCGCGTTTCTGTCGAGTGAAAAAGACAGAATGAAGTTTGAAGCTTTAGTAGTTTCGTAGCTTCGTCCTTGGATGTAAATGGTGGCATGGATGAAACATCTAGAGAACCCCCAAGCCTGACTTCTGGTGGCAAGAGGTAGCAAGGGTTCTCAGCTTTGCTGGTGCTCTCACACACCCAACAAACTCGTTCTGACACTTTTGGAGCAGTTGGTAAGAAATCGTAGAACAGCTGAGGCCTTAAAGATCACCCACTTCTAAGCCCTGCCACGGCAGGGTTGCCACCCACCACATCAGCCTGGCCTTGAACGCCTCCAGACATGGAGCAACCTGTTCCTCTGAATAAAAAAATCCTTCCCGTTACCTAATGTAAATCTGCTGTCTTTTAGCTTAAAGCCATTCCGCCCCGTCCTATCGCTACACACCGAGCAAAAAGTCAGTCTAAGGATAGCTAAAAAGATTCATCAGGACTTGTTCTTGTTTGTATCCTTAGATCTCACAGCAATTAACCTCCCAAGAGCAAATCGGTCTGGCTGATAACTGTGCAGGCCCTGGGTTTTTACAGTCAGCTTCGCAGTGGTGCTCATGAGGCTGAAACACAGTGAGCAAATACGAGTGCAGCCA